TACATGTAAATCAATCCCACAAAGTATAAAATTGAGTAAAACAATAGATGCACCCCTAGGTGTAGAGCGGCTAGGGTGCATCGGACTGTACTCGGTAAATCAACTATATCCAAAACCTATTTTGGTGGGAACCGACATCCATGTAGGTGTAGGATGAGGATCATACTGTCTTCACCTCAAGTTCAAGAGACCAGGGGGATCAAGACAACATGTGTTAGCTTTGATCTACTGAATCGGGGACCAGACATCTGGTATCCAAAGGATGTCTACATAACATAAATGAACTCCCCCAACAGTGAAACTGATCAGAACCATCCAAAAAGCAATAACATCCTCAGAATAAGATACAATGAGGGATAGCAAAAAGGACAGAACCAAAACAACCCTCCTTACCTCCACTGTGACCCACAACACAGAAGGAGTATGATCGAGGGAAGAATACAGACAATCATAAATAAGCATGAGAACTTAAGTTGATTGGTTCTATTCTAAATCCAAAACCCAGCCATGAGGTACCAACATACACACAGTGGTAGGATGAGGGCTCCCAATTGAAAAAGTGAACTGCAATTTGACATCTCACTACTTCAAGTATATATTGTATATTGGAGAATAGCATATTATCTACACCTTCAGAACACCACCACCCTGAATGGTTATAGCCATCTTTGTATGGAACCCATGGTCAACCACCCTAGCGGCTTGGAACTGGACTCCCATACTCCACTAGAAGAAAGGGGGGGATGAGAACATGGTGGAGAAACATCATCATTTGAGGCAATGCAATGGGTGACCATGAAACCCTATTTTGAAAAGCAGCCCATAATGATTTATTCAATACAAGGCATGGCAGGGATGGGCAGCTATCCCCTTCTGTTTTACACATGCAGCCCATGGTTGGTATGGTCCGGAACGGTCAAGTTTATGAAGCAATTACATCGTGAGGTTATTCACCTATAAGTGATCTTGGTGAACACCCCATCTCAACAGTGAGCATTTCAAAGTCATGGAAAATAAAACGTGAATCAACATGGCTGTACAGTGAGGAGAATACCTGGTCAGGCACCACTTGTATCTTTGACAGTATTGGGAAAACCGAATAATATGAGATAAGGCAGCCTGATAACCCGAGAGCGAGGAGACCGAAGACCCCCAGTTGAAAAGCCGCATGAGAAACTCTGCCACTTGAGCCACAGTAGGTCAGATGGTGAGAAATCCTCGAGTAGCAGACCAACTGTGGAACACTGATACACCTCCATTGTAGAAGAACGTATGGAATGAGATAAAAGGACAGCTACTTGATGGGAGAAACCTGATCTCCTCGCCAAGGACTGGATAAAAGCCAGGCAAAAAGATGAAGGATGTGAATGACCAGATTTAGAACTGTTGACCGAGGTTGACAAAGAAGGGAGGGAAGCAAAGGAAGAGGCACTGAAAGGAAAAGTTGCAGTTGTTGTAATAATGGAAACCATGGTTGAGCTGGCCAATAAGAAGTAATTAGAAGGACTCAACATAGAGTAGTATGGATGAGAGAGATCACCTGATGAAGTAATGAGATAGGAGGATAAACATAAAGGAATTTGTAGGATCAATCCTGGCTGAAAGCATCGACAGCCAGAGCCCGAGGATGAGGTACCAGAGACTAAAAAAGGGGTAACTTGTGATTGAGGTATGTGGCAAATGCATTAATGTGGGGAAAACCCCCATGAATTTCAAAATCACCAGAAAACAAGGGGATCTAAAGACCATTCCATCGGATATATTTGGTCGGGGTGGGAAAGACGACCTGCTACGAGATTGAAAGCACCTGGAATGTGATATGCAACGAGATGAATGCGGTGTGTGGGGGCCAAATATAGTAAATCCAAAGTTCAAACACAGAGAGATCCCGACCAGGAGCCCCCTTGGTGATTGATATGTGAAACCACCATAGAACTGTTGGAATGAATCATCACCAGACATTGTCTGATGATAGGAAGTAAGTGATTCAAAGCCCGATGGACCACAAGAAGCTCGAGGACATTGATATGCAAAGAACTTTCAATTACAGACCAATCACCCGAAGCTTCATAGTGATTGACCCATGCACCCCAGCCCTGAAGGGATGCTTCCATGAAAGATGTAAATCTGGATGAGGATGAGGAAGCAGGATGCCTGCTGATGTATGAGCATTTTCCAGCCACCAGGGTATCGGGAGCTGACAAGAGATACCGAGCAAGGTTCCACTAATTGTGAAGAGCCCACTGAAGGGATGATATATGCACACAACCGAGGGGGGGCCAGTGACGTCATTAAAGACCACTTCCCCAAAAGCAATAAAACCTCATGAGCAGAAAGTGGGTGAGCTAACAGTTTTGTGGAACAAAGTCAGAGAGGAGAAGGTTGGGCCCAACTGAGATGTGTGTTGAAAAAGACATCCAAGTGAACAAGATATTGGGTAGGTCAGAGGATGGACTTCTCCAATTTGATTAACCAGCCTATCTGAGCAGCCACTAGAAGGAGTTGATGAGTATGGCTGGCCTACTCCAGTTCGGAATGACCCAGAAGAAGTCAATTGTCTATATAATGGTGCTATGTAGTGCCAGTCTCGTGTGTGATCCCAGACATGGTAACATGAACTTCAGAATTCATAATGAAGAAGAGTCAACCAATAAGCTAAAGTACAAATATCAATGCAACTGTAATAAACTGGAATTAAAGTGAAGTTAAGAAACAGTCTTAATATAAATCAGAAGTAAAAATAAATGAAGACTACTTCATAAGTATTGTAAAGACAAACATGAAACTTTAAACGAACACATCCAAACACAAGTGCTGCCAAATGAGAAGTGATAGTTTGGTAGAGACGCATAGAGAAAGATTCACATGCGTCACATATGTTACGCTCCTATTGGTGGTGATGTAACGTATGATGATTTACATGAGAGACATGTTGAAATCATTCAATTTCAATAGAGGGGAGAAGGCTTGTGGCATGTGTAAAGAAAAAACTTGCATATAGAGGGCAGCACTGGAAGAGATTAGCTAATCTTATGAGTGGAGGGAAGTACCATATCAGAAACTATAATTTAATAATCACATTTTAATAGCTATAAAAAGAAGCATATTTTTATGAAATTAAGACAAATTTCTCATTTCTGCACGAAATTTCTTTATTAACTCTCTCAACACGGGCTCGGGTCAATTTGACCAACCACGTGACATCTTTGTACTCAATTAAAGTCTTTATAGATTTAATACTTCTAACTTTCAATTTGGCAGTCTTTCAGTTAATATTATAAGTCTTTCAGATATAAAAAATTATGTTTTTTTAGTGAAGTATTTTTAATAAAATACAATAAAGATTTGTCTATGAATATATTGAGCATTTGTTTTGAATAGTCAGTGTGCAAAGTAATTTTCATGCTAAAATTAAAAATTATTTTCCTCATCTCAAAAATCTCTAATTTCCTTTGTGTAATTCCTAAAACCTCCTAAATGCATTTCAATGTTTTTTTTCCAGTAAAACGTTATAGTGTATCTGTTATTTTCTCTACCCTATCTCCAAATGGGATCAGTCAAAATCGACCAACCTCATAACCACCACACACACACCTAATTACCTATTTTTCTTTCTAGGATGACTACAAATTGTAACATGAAACTACATTCGTTTTCCTAAGTAGCTCTAAGTTTGTAACAGTATACATCTATCTATAATTAAATGTTATTGTTTTATTGCCCTTTGACCTGTGTCTAACTAGTATCTCAGGTATTAAAAGATTGGTATAAGTGCAAAGTGCCAAATCACTTCTTGTGAACAATCTATTTTGCTGTGTTCTTACGATCAGGTTGTTAATGCCTGATTAATGAAATCACTTGGCTTTGAAGCAAAAAAACATGCTGATGTCCTCTTAAACACCTTCTACATTTGCATAAGTGATCGAAAAAGATGGTAATCTGATGATGCCATATCTGGAGAATATGGTTGGTGGGGGAGAACTTTCCAATCCAACTCCATAATCTTGAGTTGCATCAAACATGCTACATGTGGACGTGTTGTCGTGGAGAAGAAGAACACCTTTCTGATTGACGAGTGAAGAGCATTTCTGAAGAAGGGATTGATTTAAATTTTCCAGTTGCTAACTATAGATCTGTACATTGACAGTTTGCTGTGGATAGAGGAATTTCAAATGAATTACACCTTTGATGTCCCACCAATTGCAAAGCATCACTTTCTGCATATGGAGTCCGGTTTTGGGGTCGGAAGTGGTTTTTGTCTAGGACTGAGCCATTTTTTTGGTGTTTAATATTTGCATAGAGAATCCATTTTCATCACTGGTGACAATTCTGTCCAAAAATAGTTCACACGCATTACATGCCAGAAGAGACAAAGCAATGTTCACACGTTG